ATACAGGCTTCAAAACACGATGCGATGAATAGAGCGTAATATAGTATCGTAAATATGAGATCCGTATGTAATATATCTGTCAATAGGTAACCAAATCCATGAGATGTTAGCAGATATTAGCAAAAAACTTCTTTTATAATTATGAGAATATGTAAAACTACTTACAAAACTCATCGGCCGAGAAATGCCTGAGCCATCCATCGTTGACATTGTTGGTCATTGTTATCTTATACCTCAAACGCAATCCCTGTACCAATTGGACAGACATTGGGTACAAATTCATTAATAATTGAAATATTTTAAGAATTAGTACTTTTTCAAGCAATTTGTGTAATAATTAACATTTAATAGGTTTTTATAATTATGTAATTATTGGTAACAATACCTGAGTTGAGCGGCAATTGTCGAGTGCGATGAACCACCAGCGCTCCCGATATGAGTGAAACTTGCGGTAATGTGTGCAGCGATACCACACTGTGTTGTTGTCATACTTTTCCCGATACTCACCACAACCGGACGCGTGGGTCGACTTGATTTGAGTCGTAAAATTGGTTAAACTGATTATTTGATTGTTATCGTTGTCCAAAATTTTATGTCTTTCGTCGCACGTCTTCGCCAAACAAAACAAATATAATATTAATTTTTAACAAAATTTAATCTTAAATTAACGAAAAATTTTATGGAAAACGAAAATAAAATCTTAAATAAACAAATTAAAAAGAAAAATTATAAAACAAAATAATCATTGCTTTATAGTAAGAAAATATTTTCCAATAAAGATGTTATCAAAACAATCAATAACTTATGTTTTAATTTATTTAATATGAATATATAATTACTTTGGATGTCTTGTAAACGGCTGGCCATTGATAGACGGAATCGAAATAAAGGAGAAAATTCTGGGGCCCATAGCTCTGGTAAGTGTGGATATGAGTTGTGTTATTATGTAAGCAATAAATTAATGGCAAACTATTTAAACAAAATTTTAAAAATAAGCCCTACTTTTGGATACGAGACGTCGTATTCAAACACTCCGTCCTGTGATAAGAAGCAAAACCTCGTGAGGAAAACCCAATTCTACAGTGGATTCACAAATCAGATATCATATTAGATAAGA